CACAGCACTGTCAGGGCGTTGCCCTACCGAGGGGTCAGTTCCAGTCCTTCCTCTACTCCCACATGTTTACAAGCCAGGGAAATTAGGGTTGAAAAGAGGTGGGGTGGGGTGGAGAACAGGGTGTGGGTGATGGGGGTGTTTCTGAGATGTTTGACTCAGATTACAGGCCTAAGGGGTAAAGCTCTTTGGGGAAATGTTCCCCAAGTGGGGAAGTTGAAACACCCTAGGGCTTCCAGAAGTCTGGGACAAAAGGGTCTTGGTTATCCTTTAGGAGGTGGGAAAGTTGTCTGACAAGAGGCTGAGGGTGGCCTGAGAAGGCTCACCTGACCCTGTAGTACAGCTGGAGTGAGTGGGGGTGAGGCTCTGTGTTTTCTGTGTTGGGGTCCTTCTTCTCTGTCCCTCTGGCTCACTTTAAGGATCTGAGCTGTGGTAGCCATCTCTAGCTTAGAATGAGATCATGGTGCCTGCAGCCTCCCTGGCAATGAATTATTGAAAAGAGCATAGTGCTAGCTGCTCATTGCTGCTGCCCCGTGGGCCCACCATTGCCTTTCACCCCGCTTTTCACTGCTCCTTCATCAGCTGTGAGGTGGGTGAGGCCTGGTAGGGGTGTTAGGGAGAGGCAGGACCTGGATAGGGAAATGAGGACTCAGGTCTTGGGGAAAGGGCCGGTGAAGAGTGTGGCTCCTTGTCTTGGGTCAGGAGGGGAGAGGGAGCTGGCAGCCACCCTGGAACCAGGCTGGGAAGACTGAAAGACCCTTGAGCCCAGTGACTGCCCAGCATTTGAGGTCTGAACTCCCCTACGCCTCTGGGGTTACACAGAGCCAGAAGGAATCTGAGTCCTGGAGTCAGCACCAATAAGGCATTAGGTCATTCAAGGGTGCTCTGTGCAGAGCCCTCTATCCCTTCCAGGGAAACAACGTCCTGCTGAGAATGTAAGAGAACTGTAAAGCTACTGGGAGCCAAGTGCAGGCTGAGGAGGTTGCAGTTAATTATCAGGGTCTTGGATGGACCATCTGGCCTGGTGGAAAGAGCACAGGATTTGGATTTTGAAAACTAGAAGGCAAGTCTTATTTTTATCACTTATAGTTGTGGGCAAAGTCATTTATCTCAGCAACTGAGTTTTCTTACCTTTAATAAAGGGAAAGAACAGTGCTTGCTTAACAAGAGGTTCTGCGAGAACTCAACAGGAACATCTGTGTTTCAGAAAATGGAAATGGCTGTGTAAAAGTAAGTTGTTATTATTGAGGGTAAGAGCTGATAAACAGAGAAGCGGCATGTGGTGGAGAGAACCAGAGTCATGACCTGGGTTTTAGCCCATGCCCTGTGACTAACCCTTTCCACTTCAGAAGTTAAAAGACTTTTCAAAGGCCACAGTCAGTCCATAGTGGGATCTGGATTCAGACCCAGCTCTTCAGATTCTGCCTCCTGTGTTCGTTCCATTGAACCGTGTGGACCACTGACCTTCCATGTGCTCAGCACTGAGGACTTCCTCTGAGAAGTCCCCACACCCAGATGCCACAGAAATTAGTACTTCATTCCTTCCTATTATGCGTGGCCACACCCCTCTCTCTTTCAAGAATAATGAAGCAAGTACATTTCTTGATCTCCCCTGAGGCGGCAGGAATAATATTATCGAGTATTGGAATGCGGTTTAAAAAATAGCCTGGTATTACAGAAGCTGTACTTATGGATTGTAGAAAATTAGAAAATACAGATAAACAAGATCAAACAAATCAAAACATAGTATTCCCACCACCTAGAAATCACCGCCATTAACACTTTGGGTATAATCTTTCTGGATTTTTTTTAAAAAAAAATTTTTAAATTGAGATATAACTCAATTATATAAAATGCACAAGTATTAAATGTACAACTCGATGTTTTTTTTTTTTTTGCATATATATCTGTATCTGTGTAACCACATCCAAAGCAAGGTCTACAACATTATCCTCACCTCAGTTTTCCTTGTGCTCCTTCACAGTCAGCGTGCAGCCTCCTGTGGTAACTTAATGTCTCTTCAGGCTCTTATCACCATAGATTAGATTTGCCTGTTCTTGAACTTCATATAAAAAGGATCGTACAGTGTGTACTCTTTTGTATCTGGCTTCTTTCCCGCAGCAGTCTATATTTTTAGATTCATCCTTGTTGCATTTATCAGCAGTCTGCTCTTTTTTATTGCTGTGTAGTATTCCATTGTTAGAATATACCATAATATATCCATTCTCCTGTACATTTGGGATGATCCATTCTCATGACCATTTAGGATGATTCCAATTTTGTCTCTAATTGAATAAAATTGCCATGAACATTTTTGAGCATATGCCATTTGGTAGACATAAGAACTCATTTCTCTTCGATATATATACCTAGAAATAGAATTGCTGGGTTATAGGGTAGGTTGTATCTTTTTTATGCACACGCATACACACACAAATGATTTTTAGCAAAATGAGATCATAATGAACGTACAATTTTAAACTTACTTTTTTTCAGTCAATGGTCTCCATATTTCCACTGATTAATTTTTATTTTCCCTAATCCCAGTCAATATTCAAATCTCCCCCATTGGCCCCAAAATGTCTTTTACAGATGATATGTCCTAATCAGCACCTAATTAAGGACCACACATTCCATCTGGTAGTTGCATCCTGTAAGACCTCACCTATGTCCTTGCTGGATACATCAGTTCCTTGTCATATGGACCTCTCGATGGGGCAGCACGCAATAGGGCAGCTTACTTCTGAGACAGAGAGACAGAGGGGATAGAAGTTGCATCTTTTTGTGATTTTGGAAGTGACTTTTCATCACTCTTGCTGCATTTTATTCCTTAGAAGAAAGTCATTAGATCTAGCCCACACTCAGAGGGTGGGGATCACACAAGGACTTGAATACCAGAAGGCAAGGATCATTGGGAGCCATTTCAGAGCTGTCTACCAATACATCATAGGTGTTATTCCAAACTTTATCACATGGGAAGATACATGGCAATCTAAAGGGCACTTTCATGCGTGTGTGTGTGTGTGTGTGTTGAATTATTCTTCACTACACATGGATTATCATAATCTTTTTAATGCTTAGGGCATCTAAAAGGCTTAATGTGTGAATACATATATATTATCAATACATATATATTAACATATATATCAATACATATGTATATTTATACAGAGGCAAAAACTCCTACTTTCATTTTATAGCTGAGAAAACAGCCTCAGAGAGGGCC